AGTATCATCGTTTGTTTCACGAATTTTTAATCACGGATGATATATCGAAGATCCCTAATTAAATAACAGCATTTCATGTCAGTAGGACACGTTTGATACCTTTTGTCTCGAAAATTGGGTGTGGATGTGGGTGGGCTTGTGTGATTATGAGTGTGTACCTATGTGTGCCTTTGAATGTGGATATGGTATGTGAATACGGTTGTGGCTATGAACGTGAGTGTGGGTGTATGTGCAAGTTTGCGTTGATGAGAGAGTGCGTACAGGCGTTGTTATGATTGTGAAGCATGATTCTTCTTTTCACTCGCATCAAAAGCGGTTGCAACAATAACATTTACACCCACACCCAACATTGGCGCTATTCGATACATTTTGAATTGCATTTGCTAGTCTTTCACTGAGATCAAATGAGACAAAAAAATTCTATTAAAACATAGTTTTGTTTGAGATTCACAAAAATTGATGACATGTGATTGGACCATGTACCATCATTGTATAAGAGAGGACCGAGTATATTTTTTTTGCTGCAAGTGAGCCGTCGTGAGTGAAGATACACTTCCTCGCTCTTTCTCTCCCCCCATCCCTTCGACAAATGCTACTCGGACCAGCAGCCGGGAGATTTGTTGCCCATGGAGTAAAATATTCAAGGAAACGGACTGCGTAACGCGTTTCTGAGATTGCAGCATGCGTTTCGCAACGTTTTTTCAATATAGAACGCGTTTCACAGCATTCTTACTTCGATAGAATGCGTTTTGCTGCTGTCGTTTTTTGAAACGATCTGAAACGCGTTTTTCCAAGATTGCGTTTCGAAGCGTTTCCGAAGTAAAATACTGTCGAACGCATTTCGGTCGATAGGTAAAGCATTCCAGAGACACAGATTCGGAGAAATGTGAAACGCGTTTTATTTTCAAAGGCATTTTGCATCGTTTTTGTTTGAAATGATGCAAAATATATCCGTTTTGCATACAGAATCTTGCAGGAATTTAACTGTACAAAATGTACGAATTAAGCAAAGTTAATTCTGGCACTATTTTAGAAATTATAGGAAATGGGATTTGAACATTTTGTTCTTTGCACTGTTTCTCAACATGAAAATCATGACCCAAACTTTCCAAACGCAAGATTAAAATCGAATTCATCTAAATGTTTAGGATGCTAGACTGTTATATAAGTCTGATTGGTGGTTAGACTAATATTGAACATCAAAATGTAAGAAAAATATTGTTTTTTCCTTGAAAACTCATTTCACTAGATTTTTATTGAAAGAAAACGTGTTTCGTAACGTTCAACCAAGCATTGTCTTAAATATTGAACAATTCGAAAAGATTTAGTAAAGACTGATGTTAGTATAATGTGTACGACAACTTTGTTTGTTTATTTGTGAACAAAAGAATCTCGAGTTATTTATAATTTGAATAATTATTGGTATGAATTCATATTTGGACTACTTGATAGTGACTGATGATACTGTGTACAATACTATTAAATATGATTTTAGTTCGTACTTTGTTAATGTAAGCGTGACTTATTAATACAAAGAACATTCGATTTACAAAAGAATATTCTTTGCATTTAGTGATACGTTTGGATAAAAGGATGACGAATTTACATATACAAAAATCTATTAAATAAAGAAAACAATTCAAAAAATTTATTTTTAAATTTCTTAAAATTTATATCTAAGAGATTCAACTTGTTGAAATATTAAATACAATTTATATTAATTAAAATCGTTTCAATTGGGTATTTAAATTTAAATTTAAACAAGTTCAAATAAAAAATATACCAAGAGGAGATCAAACTCATTATTGGGTATAGGCACCAAGGAAATGATAATTTTTAATTTAATGGAATGGGATACTGAAAATCTAATTTAGTAAGTTTACGCAAGACTCTGAAGGACTATAGAATAAGCACTTATATCATTAGATTATTTTAGTTGAACGGTTTGTACACATGTCTTCTATTCTTATGTTCTCGTGTTCGAATCTATGTGTTGGCTTTATCAAAATTGATCTAAGGTATAGCTCTAAAGGTGTATGAAAAATGTAAGCGAGTAAATTAATTGTATCTGCAACTCAAAGTGCATGAAGTACTTGACGGTTTTCATTTTTTTCCATCTAGAATATACAACACCACAGCTAGAGAAACACTATGAAAGAGTGTGGGTGTGGTGTGGGTGGGTGTGTGGGTGTGGGTGTGGGGTGCGGGTGTGGGGTGTGATTGTGGGTGTGGGATGCGGGTGTGGGTGTGGGTGGGTGTGGGGTGCGGATGTGGGTGGGTGTGGGTGTAGCGTTGGTGTTGGGTGTGGGTGTGGGTATGGGTATGGGTGTGGGTGTGGTTGTGGGTATGTTAGTGATAGGAAGATGTAGAACTCCACACTCGCACCCACACCCCCACCCATCCACACCCACACACCCCACCCACACACCCACACCCACACCCACAACCCACACACACCCACACTCACATTGTTGGTGAATAGCTTAATCGTGATCGAACCTAAGTTCAAATATCATTTTAAAGATGAGCAAGATCATTTCGTAAAAAATGTTCAAAAGAAAAGTGGAAGTGAAAGCATTTGTTAGATTATGGAAAAGATATTTTATCAATGAATAAAGAAAACATTCTGAACCGATTTATTAACTATTGTAATGATTTCTTTTAGTGATTTTATTGGAAAGATAAAGAACGGATGCGTTCAAAATGAACTGATTTTATTTGATGTTCTCTAGAGAATCGCTCAAAAACGAATTCTTCAAATTGATCGATACATTCTAGACGATTCAAAAACAATCTTAGAAAAACAAATATGTGGTCACTATTAATCTCCATCTTACTTCATGCTTTTTCCCTGGGAGAAACAATATTAATTAACTCAGACTACATTCTTCGGTTTTCTGAAATATATGAATTTTTTGCCTTCACAATCTGTAACTGGCTTTTAGCAGCATCTATTTCCAAACCTGAGAATTTATCTATCAATATCAAAAAGTTCCTGTTTTTCTTACGCTGACAAAAACAACAAAAGTAAAGTATAAGCGATGCTTGTATATTTAGACCAATAATATCACTATAACGGACGCTATAATTATTTACAAAAGATACAGAAGGAAATAAAAGGAACGAACACTGGACTATGTGCTCATAAGTCATATGATCGATATAACTAAAGATAGTTGTCATAACTATGAATGTCAATTTATTTTAATGGTTCTTTAAATTAACCCTTCGAACTTAATGAATGTGACATAGATAGACGCTTCTGTCATTGCTCTATCTAATTGCGAAGATCCGACTTCGATAGTTATAAAGAATCGGAAGTTATTCCAAAAATACTGGTTTAGATTTGTAAGAAAAAATCTATTGATAGATGTTAATTTCTGTGTATGTCATAAATATTCATTTAATGCACAAATGTGAAAAGAATTCTAACTAAATATGAAATAAGATATTTTTCATCATTAAATAAATAGTACGTCTTTGAAATGTTGATTTTATAATTATGTAGGCTGATTTATTAGTCTTCATAGAAAAAAACGTTTTCACAAGGCTGAGAATTTAGTAGAATGATAATATAAGACAGAAAGAAAGCGATAATAGTACATATCATTCCAGAGCTTTTATCTATACAATGAATTCCATCCATGAGCAAAGTATGAGCTTGAAAAGAGTTAAGGGTTTGAATATGGTCCACCCACATCGACATTCATCTTCAATCAATTCTATGGTTTTGTTGAGTAAGATATACTTAAACAAATTGGGTAATACTAATAAATTTAGAGACAAATATAATTATTTAGAAAATTGTTAAAATAAGATTAACATTTGCTGTCTCTAATTTACTATAAAGATTTATGTATCTTGTTAGCATTATCTATCTATCTTACATATAAATTTACTCTATTTTAGGCATCTTTTATATACTGGTTATCATTTTATTTGAGGGCATGAGGTTTGAATGTAAAGATGTGCAGTGTTTTTCATGTCCACCTACAGCCACACTATATTATTGTTGAAACTGAAGCCGAAAGATTTTTCTGATATTACATATCACTACACATTATCTATCTTTGCTAGTACATTCAAGATAGTTTAGTATTGAAGGACATCGGTTAGACCTCTAGCAATTAATGTAAAGATTGGATTATTAATATTTCGAGATAAACTCCAAGTAAAAACTTGATTTGAAAACGAATATGTTATATTTAGTAAATCTTCATTTGATATAAAATAATTGTAGATTTGATCGTATACAAGTCAGGAATATTTACTGATTGCTGATTAGTCATTGATGTTTTCTTCGAATGTAGAAGCCGAAAAAGATATAATCGTAGTAACCGTTTATGACTCTGAGCAGTTGAGTATGCAGAAGAAACGAGTGACCCAGACATCCAATAGAGTTGTCAGAGAAATCAATACTTAAACAATAGTATTTTTCAGTTCAATATCAGTTTGATATTAGTTGATGAAAGAACAGTTATTGTATGTGTAAGACTTACGTTGTCAGGCTTTTTGAAGTGATTACATGTTGATGATGTTGATATTTTTAAAATAGAGCTAAATTATAAAAAAAGATTGATCTTTTCGTAATATTCTACGTGCGCGAAATTAGAGATATACTTTTTTTATATGGCTTTTGTTCTCAAAATAGCTAATTTAATGACAGTAATAAATATAATTAAAAGAAAAGATCGTTAGAGATTACAAATATACGAGCTATCTTCGATACTATTCTACGTCATAATATTTATCTTAATCGAAAGAAGAAAAAACTCTATGCTCTCATACAGGATACGTCTCATTAATTAATTCAAGGTTGTTCAGATTCATTTCGTACATAGCGCAGTTCGACTTCACTAATCGAATAATTTGTATATAATTGTCAGTATATGCTCTATAGAATTTATTAAATCATATATATTTAAAAGAGAAGAAAAGGTCAAGATAAAAACTGGTTCAATCGCAAATAAAAAAGCAATAAATTAAAAATAAAAAAATAGTTAAACGTGGAGAAGAGTAAATGCAGTAAAAAGAAACATAATTATAGAAAAAAGCAATAGACAAAGACGATCGATGACCATTGCCGCAAACTGCCAATCTTGAGATTCATTTTCATCTTTCTCTTTTTTTCGAGAATAATTAATAAGAATAGCAAGTTGAGAAATAATAACACGTAGCTCAGAGCATGTCGTATCCATATCACATATGTACAATTCATTAGATGTATTTTGATGATAACCATAATCATGAGTTTTTGTTGCCGGAGGTACAGCGGATTCTAATATCGAATCTGAGTGTTGTTTTTCCAAAAATACTAAAGGTTCCTTATGGACATTTATAACATTACTTGATAACAAGTCGAATTTATTATTAAACAATGATTCAGAAGGAATCTTAGATTGATGATTACCGATCGATTCATGTATATTATCCGATTCTTTTTTTGACGAAGTCCATCGACGACTAATCGCATGCCAACTCAAATCATGATCAGGACGCTTCATAAGTAATAACCATGCCAAATAGTCACAAATATATTTACGAATCTAAAATGATTTCTAAAGTCATGTAATTTACTCATTTTGAAATATGATTTACCCATAATGGCATTGTATGATTACTAGAGTTTCGATTATGAAGAGATAATATAAATACTGATGCAACAACTGAGACTGCTGTCATGAACATGACACAGATGAAATAAATGGTAATAATTGGTATAGCAGTTGAACTTGATGGCAGAATTTCCGATAGAACTAAACTGAACATAATAACACTTAAAAGGGTTGTAATCTCTGAAGACTTCAAATGTATAAGAATAAACTTTTTATGATCAAATTCTAACTCACGCAAGGTTAATTTTTCGCCACTATCCGGTGATAATAAAAATCCAAGTGGTGTCATACAACTAATAAGAAAACAAGGTGCTATGAAACGAAAAACAATAATATTGATGCTAAGATTAGAAAAAAAACGTTGTTATTTATATTTTATTACCGATGATATTTGTAAAATAATAAAGAGAACGTCGACGCATTCGAATAGTGTATAGTACGTGTGGATACACATTCGGACAACAATCGTATTTGGTGCCACTATTTGTTGCAGTGAAATCTGAAATAGAATAAATAGAATAAAACACACATAATCCGTACCAGCTACCTTCTAATTGCCATTCAGCATTTTGGACATATGCATCTAATTGACCTCGGCTATTTTCTGCCGTCAAATTGACTCCTAAGTGATAAAAAATTTATGTAATATGTAGAAACATTTTGATATTTCATTCAAGAAAATGATTTAACGATATACCAGCATCATCATATGACCAAGTTCCAAATTTCAACGTACAAAGTTGTGTATCCAATAAAAGGCAAAATATTTAAAATAAAAGTAGGTTATGAATGATATACTTTTTTGAACTTACAAATGGAAACGAGGCAATATTAAATGGACAAATCGATTTGAATAATACTGGTGGAACATATAATATATTACCATCATATTGCACAACAGCATTAACTTTCGTTGTAGTATCAAACTTGTCATCCATACTGAAAAAAAAAGACATCATTTTTCAAGATATCTTTTCATTGAATAATAATAATAACGTGTTGTATAGAAAAATGTCTGGCGTCCAAATTTGTGTACTTGGTATTCGTAGTGTTTGAATATTACCAAATTCTTCTGGTTTCCATCTTAAACTATAATCGTACCACATCTATACACATATATATGGAGAATAAGAGCAGATATTATAACTAGGTATGCAATGTTGATGATAACTGATCCGATCTAGGATGACTTAGGGTGAAATCAGTTTTTCAAAGTTATGAGCTGGACCATTTTTTGGTTAGAGAAAGGGAGTTTTACGCAAAAAAAGTATTGCTTTTTATCAAGTTCGACCAAAGGCAATTGGAGTGAACAAATCCGAATCTGTCATCGATTTCTTGAAATAAGTTATTTCATTTTTTTCCGATAGGTTTTTTTTCAAGAAAAACTTTTGTCAGTACAAAGAAATCATTTCTTGACAAAAAAATGACTTTGACTAAGAAAATAAATTTTTAGTGGAGTAAATTTTTTTTTTTATTTTTATAAAAATACAATTTTTCCTAAAAAGAACCTTTTTGTAAAAAGAATCAAACTCAGAATTTCATAAGAAAAAGTACACCCTAAGCCTACATAGATTGGTATTAGCTTAATTATCATCGTTGCATCCTTAATTATAATTAAGCATAAATACGATAGTGATCCAGCCACTAATAATAATAGCTTCGTTCTTTCCATCCTATTTATATTTCACAATTGAAAAAAAACAAAACATGAAAAATATATATTTAATCTCACTTACATAATCAATGATTTGTTGTAAAGCTAAATTTATAGTAACAGGTAACGTGTCAGAATCATTTTGAACTGGTCGTGCAATGGGTCTGTATCGATGATCAGCCAATAGATAGTTTAACAAACGATTTTGATCAGGACCTCCACCTTATATCGATTATGTTTTCGTTTCCAAAAAAAAAATTCATCAACTTACTTATGATATTGAAACAATAAAATATAATTAGCAGAAATAATTTTAATTGTTGTTGAATCATATAAAACATTTTCTTTGAAACTAAAAAGATACTATGTAGAATTTATGTATTTGTCAAAATTTTTTCATTAATGCAAAAAGTATAAAATGTCAACAAAGCTCTGCAATAGTAGAATTCATCTAATCTACAATTTATATAAATCTAATAGTCACTTGATTGAGAAAACACTCAAAAGAAAAAAAAGTATCGTTACTTTTAGCTGAACTTCCAATCTGATTTTTAAAAATTATATCAATTGAATGTATATAAAATGCATGAAGAATGAAGTGACATTTGATTCTATAGAAAAAAAATATATGTTCACATTCTACGATAGAATATGTGATAAAGTTTATCCATTATTTGTACCACTATAATGACTTATGATGTAGATATAAAAAAGTGTATCATTAGCTTAGATTAATACAGAAATATTATTAGCTTTAAATTAATAAAAACGTTCTGAACAGTGAAAATCGAAAGTGAATGGTAAAACAATAAATTTATAAGTATTGTTAATAATTGAAACATATTCGACTTGAAAACAATATCTTATGATAATATCTATACGATCAAAATATTTCTGTGTTACTATACATCAGGGTTACCAGACTAGAAAGTCAGAAATCGGAGTTTTTTAACCGAAATTCGGAAAAATTCGGAATTTTTTTAATTCTGTTTCGGAAAATATTTGGAAAGCAGTTCTTTCACGGTCAAATACATATATCACCTTTTTTATGGAGATATGTTTTGTTCTGTCACTATTTTGTGCAAAAACTGTTACCAATATACTTATTTCTTTCTTCAATCTCACTTAAATTCATATTCAAATTATTATATTCATCAATCTTGGCTGAATTTAATTCAGTATAAGAAGAGACAATTATCATTTGAAAAAGCATTTTTCTGAACATAAAGCTCAACCCATGTCGAAGAAATTATTGCTGCAAATGTTATTTTTTTTAAACAATGCGGAATATTTCATTTAGTTTGAAAAGCTTTTAAATTCAAGCGATCTTACACTATAAATAGTTTCAAAACTGTATTATACAATGACTACAGTAGAACAACGGCAGCGCATGGGTTGCTGATGAAAATTAACCCTCTATTGTACAAGGGTATCTATAAACGCCACTTTTTCAGAACTTATCTGATGTGATTCAAACTTTTCATGTGTATATTAGAGATAATTATGATCACAATGTGAACGAATTTCACTTTCAGATATTAAACTTTAGCCATGGGCAAGAAAGGGTTAAATTAAATGTTCTAATCAAAGTCATTAAAATTCGAACCTAGAGAACTAATATTGAATAGATTCTGGAAAAATATTCAAAATTCGAACAGTCGGAAAGTATTCGAAAAAAAATACCAAAATTCGAAATTTTCCGAATAATTCAGAAGATCTGGCAACCCTGCTATACATCAAGTTTTTATAGTACTCAAATTCTCATTAGCCTTTAATAATTTCGATAATCATCTAAATCAACAATGACAATAGTTAATACCTATTACGCCTAATGACAAATGAGCATGAGAAAAAAACCTACTAATTCTGAAACGACATAAACGTTTAACTCATGTACAAAAATAAGGAAATAACGGTTGTTGAATATTATTCGCAAGTAAATATAATCGTGTGGGCAGTTCTATTCCATAGTTTAAATGAAGAATGAAGAAGAAAGATAAACATTTAGTAATTAGGAGACGAAAGAAACCGATAAACAAAAAGTAATTAAGATATAAGAGAAAGATAGATATTAAACAATCAAGAGACGCCTTATCCATTACCCTGTCATGGTTGAGTGACGAAAACTGTAGATAGAAAAACTCTACATGTGATAATTATGATAATAATACATGGATGGAAAAATAGTCCTTGTCGAGTTTACTTACAATTCATAGAGGTTCATGTTTGATATGTAGACTTTTGAAAGTAATCAGGTACTCATCAAATATAATGCATCGTTTCATTTTGAAATTCAGTTTATTAGACAGTATTTACTAATGATTTTTTTCAAATTTTTAGTATATAGCAAGTGAAAGACAACGATGCGCCTTTGACACGTATTCCATCATCAATTAACAGTATTATTGTAGCTTGTGCTTCTTTTCCGAGAAGAAATGGTCCATGTGCTAATTGAATTATACATATATATTTAACATATCTATTTTCTCTTAATAGATAGTGCTCCACTCAATAAGAGAAAATTCTCCTATCAAAACTAATTAAAAATGATCTCAATCATAGACTTCTAGACGTAGTTGATAACAGATTTACGGAGTATGAATTACAGTCGAAGACCAGAGATTATGTCTTTTGATTTTTTTTTACTACTATACATTTTCATATTTACTAATCTGCCGTATATAAAGAGAAAGCATAGGATACTCTACATCTTTTGGTATATTTACATTGAACATAAAATGCAGTTAAAAATGTAAAAAGTATCTTAGAAATACACGTGACATATGTTTTTACTACAATACCGGACGTCTATAATGTTGTAATACTTTTTATTTCACATATATCTCGGCTTAGGTAAATGATAAAACCTTGACTCTCTTTTCAAACGATGTACCGTTGAAAGCTCTGTAAAACTTATATAAAACAAATCCTATAGCTAATAAGAAAAGTCCTCGAAATATTCTCTGTATGATGAGAAGTAATACTGCGACATAACTTGTTCATTTTCAGCATTAAAAAAAAATTAGAATGGGTCAAAAGAAATTCGATTATATAGTTTTTGTAGAGCTTCTCATAGCACATCTTTTGAAAGAAAGATTTAAAGTTTTATCATTTGTCTAAGACGAGATATATGTGAAACAAAAACTATTACAACATTATGGACAATACTCAGTATTGTAGTAAAAACAAATGTCACGTTTACTTTTAATAAACTTTTTTCATTTTTAACTGTATTTGATGTTCAATGTAAATGTACAAAAAGATGTAGCGCATTCTAGACTTTCTCTTTATACATAGCATATTAATAAATGACACCTATCTATAGTAATAACTTACTCAAAAAAGTCATTTACCATCCGGATGATCGAAATTAAGACAAATGCATGGAAAGACAACCTGTGACCTAATTTCTCATGAACAACAAAAATTTTTACTTGAAATCTAGGTTTTTTCTCACACTACTCTTGCAAACAAACAAAATTAGATCTTTATAATGAACCTGAACAGAGAAATTTTGTTTGTCGAATAAACTATTTTTGACTCTTGTTTGATCAATATCTCTCTCAAATATCATAATATCAGGCTGAAAGTTTTACCATAGCATATTCACTGCAGTTTCAGCATTTTCTGAAAATTATATCCCGTTTGACTAGGGTGTGGGTGGGTGGGTGTAGGTGTGAGTCTTCTCATTCTGCACACCCACACCCACATTTGGATGTTTAACTTCTTGAAGAAATTTAATTTCTCTTAAAGCAGTTAAATTAATTCCATCGGATGCTACTTCTCGACTGCCGATTTTAATCGTTTTCACTGCAACATCATCATTTGTTCGTGTATCTTTTGCTTTATATTCGACAGCATAGTTTCCTTCACCAACTACTTGAATTAAATTTTATCAACGCATTTTTGCTGACATTCTCATTTTCACTTGGTAAATTACAATAAACAATTTTTCTCGAAGATGTATGAAGCACGACATCTGCTTTGTCTTTATAGATACCATGTAAGAAGAAACCGTTCATCAAGGATAGCTTATAATAATAGAAAAAGGATATCTAACTGACAACAAAAAATGCTGAGATAGATGGAGGCGATGAATCGAAGTGTATTTTTAATGAACGAGAGGAAAATACACAACGCAAGAATACAATATGTAATCACAGAGGAAATGTCGTTCTTTATAGATTGAAGAGAAAAATTGCTTATTACAAATTTATCAAGAGATAAATGATCAACTGCAATCAAATACGTGTTGCGATGAAGAAAACATGCAGGTTGATGGCAATATCGACCTGCCAGAGCAACATATTACAGCAAATAGAAATAGTCATGAATCGTTCAGTTGTACAATACTTTATCGATTACACTATTTTGAGTCCTTTTTTTTCAGTAGCAAAATATTATTCTATAATATGTCTGCGTCATTGTCTTTCTTTTAATGGTACGACTTCAGTGAAATGTAAAATTATATGAGCCACTGCTTCTTTCATCATATATAATATTTGTGTATATTCCGTAAGATGTTACTCAATAAAATGAAATATTTTGTTTTTTGTTTGGTCGATAAATTGCAGCATACAAATATAACATATTATTACTCATTTCTGTCAAGGAAAAATGTTTTTCGGTGTGATTTATTTCGTACATAATTAAAATAAGCAATAACAATATTATCAGAATTCATCATGAACAGATAAACACTTTTAGACTGATTCTATTGATACTTAGCGATCAAAAAGTGGGTGTGGGTGTGGATTAACAATAACTACACTCACACCTAATGATTATGAAATAAAGTTCATCGTCAGATGTAAAGAGAAATATCTTTGCACAATATTTAATATACTAATGGAAGGAATTGTATGATCTAAAAATATGGCTAAATATTTCCTCATTGAAAGAAAGATTTGAAAAGCAATCATTTGTCACACAATAAATATTTCTCAAACGACTCTCATTTGACATTCTACAGCTGCATTTTAATAAAAAGATGTGAAAAATCACCCGGAATTCATTCACAATTGTATACTGCTACTTTATGTGGATTTTCATCTTGAGAATTTGAAAAATGTATATTGTTCAAATATTTTCTGTGTGCGTTATTCAATTGCAATTCTATAAAGACAATTATGATCATCTTGGGTCATGTTAATAAAGACCGAAAATGTTGTTAAAAAAAATCAGCATCTCTTGCAGCGATAGTTCTTGATTAAAAAGAAGCAAACACTTCGACGTTGAATTCTTTTCAACTTTTTACCGCAACAATTTTTGTGTTTTTCTATTCAGTTAATTCACTTGAGAATGAAAGTGCAGTTTACAGAGAACCTATGAACCAAAAGTC